GATGTTAGCTCAGAGCCGGTCTTCCTCAGCAAAAAGAGGAGCATTAGCACGGATGTTAGCTCAGGGCTGATCTTCCTCACAAAAAAAAAAAAAAAGATGCTCTTAGATGAAATTGCACCAATTCTCACTCCCACTAAGGAGAGTGTTCCATTCTCCAAAGCCTTTTGGATATTTGCCAAGATAAAAAATTGTACCTGGTTTAATTTACTTTTAGTTATGAGGTTGCTTATTGTTTATTTTTATTAGTGAGTCATATTTCTTTTAGTGTGCTCTGTCCATGTCTTTTGCCCATTTTGCTATTGACATTAGTCCTAGAACTTAAAAAAAACTCATAATACAAAGTTATATTTGTATTATGCTTTACAATTTACTAAGTATTTATACATTATCTCATTTAAATTTTTGAACCTCATATCAACTTTATAAAATAATTAGGTCTTTTGTTCATAGGTGATCAAACAGCTCACAATAAGTGGCAGAGTTGGGACTTGAACTTGTATAGCATATGTCCCCTTATCCATAATTCTGAAAACCAACAAGTTCTGAAAACCAACTTAAAAAAAAATTGACACCCAAACTCATTCAGCAGCAAAATCTGATCTAAAATGATGTGAAGCTATTTATAGTCTTTGTTTATTCCATTTAGTGTGCTTATTCCTCAGCATAAATATTAATGCCTTTGATTACATGGTGTTGCTCCTGAGTGCCAAATGGAGCATGTTACATAACATGAGGTATGCTCTGCATTACTGCCTAAAATCTGAAAAAATTGTGCATTCTGAAACATCTGGATTCTTCAAGCTTTTAATTAGTTGATTTAAAAGACCAGAAAAAAGATAATTTTAACTTTTAATCCGTTTAACATTTTAAGGCACTGATTGCAGGTTGTTAACTTCTGTTAACCTCTTTACCTACACTTGTCGGATTCGGTAGCACTAGGCACCTATGGTTATTACGAAGTACTTGAAACATGGCTAGTCCAAACAGATGTGCTTTAAGTGTAAAATCCATACCAGGTTTCCAAAATTTTGTACGGAAAAAAAAAATCTCACTTATGTTTAAATATCCATTACATGATAAAATAATATTCTGGATATATTGATTTAAATAAAATATATTATTAACACGTGGCTTGCATTACATTGCTATTGGGCGGCGCTGCTGTGTAGCCAAGCTAGTATCATCCCCATTTCTACCCGGTGCCCAATTACATACATCCCTGGGGCCAAACGGGACTAAACTAAGTGCTTTGTCAAATTCAGGCTGAAGTCTTGTTTTGTTTTGTCTTCTGGTGCTTTTCAGAGTCTTAAAACAATCGCTAAACACCCCGGAAGGGCTGCAAATCGCGTTTTCAATAAGTTTGGCCAAACCAGACCCCGTTCTTGACCCTCCTGCTTCTGCGCAGAGGCGGGCCCGTAAGGAAGATTGTCCCACGTTGCTCTCCGTCCGCCCCCAGGCGTTTCAGTGTGCGTCCGAGGAGACAGCAGCAATGGCTTTCCGGTGTCAGCGGGACAGCTACGCCCGGGAGGTGCGGCCGGCTGGGCGAGGGACCTGCGGCTGCCGAGCGGATGGGGCGGTGCGGGAGATGGCGCCGCGTGGAGGGAGTGCCGAGCTAGATTCAGTCCCGGTGTGCTGAGGACGTGGGTCGGGGCTCATTCTCTCATCCCTCTCTGCCCAGTTCACCACCACCGTGGTCTCCTGCTGTCCCGCCGAGCTGCAGACAGAGGGAAGCAACGGCAAGAAGGAAGTGCTGAGCGGCTTCCAAGTGGTGCTGGAAGACACGCTGCTTTTCCCCGAGGGCGGGGGCCAGGTACCAGGCTCGTCCCTCAGCCCGACCTCCTCCCAGGAAGCCCCTAATTCCTTTCTGATGCAGTGGAAAATGCTCTCCTGCGCCTCTGTTTCAGCCGTAGTGAATACAGATGAAAGTTAAATTCAGCTCTTTTGTTCATTCAGCAAACATTTATCAACAAGTACTTATCTCGCCATAGCATATGCTAGGTACTATTCCAGGTTCTAAGGATAAGAGGTGAGCAAGACAGTGCCTCTTCATATATGGAATGTTTATTGGAGAACACAGACAAGACCGTGAAGAGAGAAATAAATAGTATACTAGGTCTGATAAGTGTTATAAACAAAAATAAAGTTTGAAGGAAAGAGAGTGATGAGATGCTCTCCTAGGTAGGGGGTAGGTTATTTCATTAGAGATCTAAGTGAAGTAAGGGAGGGAGCCCTTGCAATTATCTAGTGGTACTGGCAGGGAAGGGGGAAGTATTCCAGGCAGGGAGAATGGCAAGGGCAAAGGCCCCTGAGGTAGGAATTAGGGTGTTTGGCAGCGACTGGAAAAGATTCCCATGAGGGGGTTCAAGTGTGATAGATGGGTTACAATAGCACGACAGAGGGCAGACTTATCAGACGGAGTAGGGACTAGGTCCAGTGTGAACGTGGAAGAGGAGGATAACACCACCAAAGGTGGACATTATGGGAGAGGCCTTTCCAGCAGAGATTAACAGCACAGACAAAGGCAGGGAAGCCTGAAGGAATCTGACAATTTTAGTTAACTGCAAGTAGTCCCATATAGTTGGAGCCTGTGGTGCATGTTAATGACAGGCTGGAGATGACTTTGGAAAGGTAAGGGCCAGTTCAGAGAGTTTTTGAAGGATATGTTAAGGTGTGTGGGCTTCATTCAGAAAGAAATGACATGAGAAAACATGTTCAATAAACTTGGTAGTGAGAAAGTTCCGATTTCATATCAATTGTCATCATTATTTCAGTGATTTTCCTAGCATAGAGATTTCCTGATCTGTTGAAGGAAAACCTGTGACCTCAGGTATCCATAGGAGGTCTCGTTTTATTTATTTTTTTTGTGAGGAAGATCAGCCCTGAGCTAACATCCATGCTAATCCTCCTCTTTTTGCTGAGAAAGACCAGCTCTGAGCTAACATCTATTGCCAATCCTCCTCCTCCTTTCCCCCGCTCCCCGCCAAAGCCCCAGTAGATAGTTGTATGTCATAGTTGCACATCCTTCTAGTTGCTGTATGTGGGACGCCGCCTCAGCATGGCCGGAGAAGCGGTGCGCCGGTGCGCGCCTGGGATCCGAACCCGGGCTGCCAATAGTGGAGCGTGCGCACTTAACCGCTAAGCCACGGGGCTGGCCTGAGGTCTCGTTTTAGATGTCACTTCTTTCAGGAAGTCTTCCCTGGTTCCTCAAGACTGTTAGGTCTCTTTCTTTTGAGCTCTAGAACAGTGTACCTTTTCATATTATAGCATGTTGTAGATCACATTGCAATTACCAGTTTGCGTGTCTGTGTTCTTCTCCAGACTCTTAAGTTCCATGAGGGACCACATCTTATTTACATTGTATTCTTGGGCTGACACAGTGTCTTGTAAGTAGTTGGCACTTGATACTTTTTTAAATGAATGAATATTTTTGAATCTAACTCTAGTAGCAGTGCAGAGGATGGAGTGGAGGGAGGGAGGAAAATTCAGATCTTTTTAGAGACTACTGAAAGATAAGACTCTAAGGCAATGAGAGTATGGATTAAGGTTCTTTGGGTTTTACTCAAGTCTTCCTTGCTATAGTTACAATCTCTGTTTTAATTCTGTTCTGAAGAACAAAATATATAGGCGTTCAGGGTGGATAGGACAGAGACAGTCCCTTCATGGAATAAAGTGGACCCACCTCACTTGGCATTGCCTCTTCTTTTCCTTTAGGGAATCTCAAATTCTGGGTCTGTTTCTCACATACTTTCCCTGGAGGGTCTTTGTATCCAGGAGCTAGTGAGCCCTGCCTCCCGCCACTGACTTCCTTTGCTTCTTTCCCCCAGCCTGATGACCATGGTACAATCAATGACATTGCTGTGCTGAGAGTGACCCGCCGGGGGGCCCAGGCTGATCATTTCACACAGACACCCCTGACCCCTGGGAGCGAGGTCCAGGTCCGGGTGGACTGGGAGCGGAGGTTTGATCACATGCAACAGCATTCAGGTAGGTGGGGTGGAGTGGGAGACGTACAGGAGGGCCAGTGGCCATGTATGGGAATGCCACGATGATTGAGATGTGGTTTTTTCTTTTGGAAGAGACGGACATATTCAGAGTCAGCTCTGATTCAGGCAGGATACGATAAATGTTATAAAAGCAATATGAACGATTAAAAGTATTAGAATGACTGCTGGATTTGCGTATTGCCCACTTCCCACGAGATGTCTTTATCTGGGTGTCTCATAGGCTTCTTAAACTCAAAATGTCCAAAATGGAATTAAGAAGCTACCCCCTCCTCCAGACTTGGTCTTCCATTAGCATCCACCCAGATGCTCAAATCCTGGAAATCAGTCCAGTTGCCTCTTTGGGGATAGCCAATCAGTCACCGAGTCCTGTCAGTTTTTCTTCTAAATACTTCTCCACCTCCTTCAACTGTCAATGCAGTCATCCACATCCCAGCTCTCCTTATCTTTGCCCTGGACCTCTGTAGTAGGTCATTTGTGAAATGGCATCCTAAAGCCTCTTGCACAATTCTTGTGAGGATTTTCGATAAAGTATCTCTCAAGAGTATTACCCAGTGCCTGGCAGATCTTCAACGAGGAGAATTTCTGTGATGATATCGTTGTGGGAGCATGTGGCTGTGTAGGCTTCTCACTCTTTTCCTGTCTCTTGCTCTCTCTGCCCAGGGCAGCATCTTATCACAGCAGTTGCCGACCATCTGTTTGGGCTGAAGACAACATCTTGGTGAGCAGGAGGCATAAGCCTAACTGTAGGACATGGGTTCCTGACTGCCAGCTCCTCTCCCAGTAGTGAGTTAGGGAGCAGGAGGATGAAAGAAAGAGTAGTGTTCAAAATCTGCTGTGTTCTCCTGTTCCCCTTGAAGATGGGGTGGTGGGTGACCTTGTGTTTCTTAGGGGAAACATGAGGATGAGAGAAGAGACATCTGCCTTTGCTTAGGAAAGAACATGGAATTTGGAGCCCAGATACCTAGCGGGTGAATCCTGGCTGCATGACCTTGATCATGTTCCTTAATACCCCTCACCTGTAAGATGGAAATGGCAGTCTCTACTTTGCAAGATTTTGTGGGGATTACATAACAGCATTTACACGAATGTTCTTTGTAAACTATAAACTTTCCTGTATTATTATTCTTGTCATCATCAGCATCCTGTGACCACTCTACTTCTTCTGGCAGGGAGTTAGGGCGACTCCGGAGTGTAATTGAGCTGGACAGCCCCTCTGTGACTGCAGAGCAAGTAGCTGCCATTGAGCAGAGTGTCAATGAAAAAATCAGAGATCGGCTGCCTGTGAATGTGCGAGAGCTGAGCCTGGATGATCCTGAGGTGGAGCAGGTGAGGGAGAACCAGTGGGGTGGCTTCTGTAGAATGGCCCTTGGAGGGCTCCTCATTGAAATTCAGACAGCCCTTCTCCTTCCCCTGCATTCCAGGTGAGGGCCCGGGGTTTGCCGGATGATCATGCTGGGCCCATTCGAGTTGTTACCATCAAGAGCGTTGATTCCAACATGTGCTGTGGGACCCACGTGAGCAATCTCAGTGACCTTCAGGTAGGCGAGGAAGGGCTCTTGAATGGTTGGGAGAGGGGGTGTCGGGGCTGGGGGACCACGACAGGCTGGAAGTGAGAGAGGGGGACAATTGAGGAGTCCCAAGTGAAATCACTTCTTTATTGCTTGCAAGCTGGGGGAGGTCTGGGGTCTCCTACCCTCAGGCCCAGCACCCACTGCGGTTTATGCGTGTGTGTGTGTGTGTGTGTATGTGTGTTACCCCATTGCCTCATGTAGGTCATTAAAATTCTGGGCACTGAGAAGGGGAAAAAGAACAAAACCAACCTGATATTTCTGGCTGGGAACCGGGTGCTGAAGTGGATGGAGAGAAGTCATGGAACTGAAAAAGCACTGACCTCTCTGCTTAAGTATGCCCCCTCCTATTTCTCCTGTTTCTTAGATCCTGGACACCCCAGAGCTTAGCTCTCCTACCTGTAAGGTAGACAGAATTATCTCTTATCTCTGGGGGGTAAGATGCAATCATAAATGATAAAGCGCTTTGGATAGTAAATCAGATGCACACAAGATGGTTTGTTCCTTTATATCCTCTCCCCAGTTGCCTATGAGGCCTCCTTGGAATGTCCCCAGGTCCCCTTCTGGAGGGAAATACTATCAAGAAGGGCATCATTGATTTACGCCCAACACCAAAAGCAACTGGGGAGCTGGGCAGGTCTCCACAGACCTTTCTCTTGGCAGGTGTGGAGCAGAGGATCACGTGGAAGCAGTGAAAAAGCTACAGAACTCCACCAAGCTCCTGCAGAAGGTGATTTATTCCCTGGAGGGTGGAGAGGGTGTGGGCTCTGCCTGGAGTAGACTCCCCAGACTCAACCTCTCGGCCTAACCAGATGTGTAGTTTGTCAGAGTGGAGAGTGAGGGGAGAATGAAGTAGAGGGAAGCTAGTGCGCCCTCTCATTATCCTTTCTGCCTGTCTGCTGAGTTATGGCATCCATTTCAGAACAACCTGAATCTGCTCAGAGACCTAGCTGTGCACATTGCCCACAGCCTCAGGAACAGCCCAGACTGGGGAGGAGTGGTTGCCTTACACAGGTGAGAGACAAGGCAGGGGGCGTTGGGCTTAGGGCTCAGCTTCTCCCCTGTGTGTTGTGCATGGTGGGAGGTGGGTTGCTCACTGGTATTCTCAAGGCTGAGTAGACCCTAAGAAATGTGTTACCTACTAGATTTCCTGGGTTTGATATAAACATCTGCACTACAATACTGTAACTTTCATTAGCACCTTCCCTCACCTCCTTCACCATCTAATAGATCTCCACTTATCTGGGTGAATCATATTTAAGGGAGACAGAAACAAACGCAAAGCTTGTTATAAACTGCTGAGGCTGAGAAGGATGTTTTGCTGCCCCTCGGCTAGCACTCGCTCTTTTTTGCTAAGGGAGTCTGGGACTTTGCACAAACAGACAGCAGGGAAGCCAGCCTCACGAGGAGGAGTGGGCTTCTTGTGGTTTCCCAGCTGCCACTTTAACCTAGATCTCATGTCCGTGTCCTCTGTTTTAGGAAGGAGGGTGATTCTGAGTTCATGAATATCATTGCCAATGAGATTGGGTCAGAGGTAAGAGGAGCATGAGATTCTCTATCCACCCTGGGTAGAGACCTAAGGGGGGGGCATTAGGTTATGCTGAAGTCCCTCCACATGTACACATGAAGAGTAGGGTACCAGTCGAGCTCTGTTTTAGGTGCCAGGCTAGGTCTGTGGTATGGATCTTTCTGGGGCTGTGACATTTATCAGCTTCTGACCTCCTTTTGTCAGAGCTGGAACTCCTTCAAGCCACCCACATTTATGTGTGCCGAGGGCCTGATTTTAGAAATAAGGGGGTTGGCTAGGCCCTTTGTTTTTTGTTTTTTTTTTAAAGATTTTATTTATGTATTTTTTTCCCCCAAAGCCCTAGTAGATTGTTGTATGTCATAGCTGCACATCCTTCTAGTTGCTGTATGTGGGACGTGGCCTCAGCATGGCCGGAGAAGTGGTGCGTTGGTGCGCGCCCAGGATCCGAACCTCGGGCCACCAGCAGTGGAGCGCGCACACTTAACCGCTAAGCCACAGGGCCAGCCCCTTGGCTAGGCCCTTTGAAGGCCTTCCCTTCCCTTTTCCTTTGCCTCTGGTTTCATCTGCCCCTCTCTGTCCTGACAGTCTGGAGCTTAGTGATTTCTAGGTCTCTCTTTTGCATTTACTCCAAAAACACTTTTTGGAATACCTACTCTGGGCTGAGCGGTGTGTATGTCTCTTTTCATCATTCTGTGTAGAGAGTACTGATTCTCAAGGAGCTCACTGTCTAGTATGGGAGACTAGCATGGATGTTGGCATTTACAGTTTAGGGTGGTGAATGCTAGAGGCGGAGGAGCACATTATCTGAAAGGGTGGGGAGGCTTCAGGGGAGGGAGCCTTGAAGAATACTTAGCGGTCATCAACAGAGAAGGGAGCAAATGCCGCCAGGCAGAGGGAAACAGAGGTTTTGGCAATGGCAGGCACAGGCTGCGAGGGGGGAGGGTGGTTGCCAGGCTACAGAAGTTGGCAGGAGTCAGATTCCTAAAGGCATTTTATGCTTGGTCATGTCAGCAGCTTTCTGCCTCCTTACTGTTCAACCTAAGTTTCTTATAGTCACTCATAGAGTTTCTTGGCCCTGGTGGGCCAGAGTGGAGGGGCTGCATTATCGCCCATCAGGAACCTCGCTTGTGGTTTGGGGGGGAAAATCTGTTGTTTTTCTTTTTTTCTAAGTTGAGATATAGTTGACATATGACATTGTATAAAGTGTACAATGTATTGATTTGATACATTTATATGTTGCAATATGATAAAAAAAAAATCTGTTACTGAGACTGAGGAGAGTACAGGATTTGGGGCTTGACCCACATTCTTAAGTATCAGAACTCATCTCCTTGTTTTGCCTCCTAGGAGACCCTCCTGTTCTTAACCGTGGGTGATGAGAAAGGTGCTGGGCTCTTCCTACTGGCAGGGCCAGCTGAGGCCGTGGAGACCCTGGGGCCCAGGTGATCCTCTGTGGACTGCTTTGCATGGGTGGGAGAGGCTGTAAGCCTAACCTACTAATACAGCCCTTTCCTGATGCAAAGGGCCCGCACATCTGCCGTATCATTTGGATTCACATCACAGGCACGTGAGATGGGCTGAGCAGAAGTAATCATCACCACCATCATTCCCACTTTTACAGATGAGGGACGGCACCTCGTGTGCCTCAGACCTCAGTTACAGTGGCAGAACTGAGACTCAAAGCCAGGTCTTTTGGCTCCAAATCTCATGTGCTTTCTTTTTTTTCATTTAGAAATTGAGATTCGTAAGAGATACATGAATACAGGTGCTGGATTATCAGTAGGCAGATGAAGCAGGTGCTCAAAGAGGCACAAGTTCTTTGGGGAAGAAGAATTGGGATTTTGAAACTAAATCAAAATAGGCGTTGATGCAGTTGTTATGGAAAAATTAGAACTTTGTGGAACTTCTTTACCTTTATGTTATTGTTTATAGTTTGTTATTTTAAGTTAGGTATGGAGGTGTAGTGTCCCATGTTCTTTCTGGCGTTTGGGGTTTTCAAAGACCCGATTGGCTCTGATGAATCTCTGTTCATCATAAAACATTGAAGGAAAACACAATTTAAAGCAGAGGTTCCTGACAGGTAGCCAGATATGGCCTATTGACTGGTTTGGCCAGCATACTATTTTAAACTTTCAAAATTAGTTTCTACATTTTAAAATTACCACTTTTTTACATAGAAATATAGAATTCCAGCTTTTCTCAAAAAAGGAGGGAAAAAAGGCATGCTCTGGCAACGCTGGGCTTACGTTCCCACGTGGTAGTAGCTTGGAGGAACTGAGTAGTGGCCACCGCCTTCAGACAGGACAGGCTTGTCCGAGTTTCCACAGTCCCCCCTTTCTCTCTCACCCCTAGCTTGCTTCGCTGCTGCTCCCCACAGGCGTTATGTCTGCAGCCCCTACCCCTGGTGTCTGCAGTCCCATACCCCTAGTGTATACTCACCCTGCTCCATGGAGGTTACCATAATTGATCTAACCCATTTCTAGACACTTCTGTTGTTTTCCAGTTATTTACTCTTAGAATAAACATAGTACATGTATCTTTGTGCACACATGCAGGTATTTTTAGTAAGGATTTCTGGAGGCCATTTACTCTTCCTCTGTCTCCCCCTGGCCCTTGGGGAAAGACTTAGGGCTGCCCTTGGTTTTTCTGTGGTTTCTCCTACAAAGACCTCCTCCCTGGCTGTGTCTCTGCTCCCCAGGGTGGCTGAGATCCTGGAAGGCAAAGGAGCCGGGAAGAAAGGCCGCTTTCAGGGCAAGGCCACCAAGATGAGCCGGCGTCCAGAGGTGCAGGCGCTTCTCCAGGACTACATCAGCACGCAGAGCGCCGAGGAGTGAGGATTCGGGCACCTCTCTGGCCTCCTGCCGCTGAGACCAGGCCTCTTGTGACCACAGAAAGAGTCTCTTGGATAATAAAATAGTTTGACTTGAAATGATTCTGGTACCATGTATACCTATGTGACTAATTTACACAGCATAGTCCAGTGTGAAATAAATATCTGTTGGTGAGTAAACGGCTTTCTGATTTGGCCCCTGTTAGGCGTAACTGATGTGAGTGAGTGTTATGTTGACGAGGTGTGCTCATTTATTGAAACCCAGCTGAAAGCTTTTTTCACGCAGAAATACAGCTGCCTGAGGAGACTGCGGGTCAGTCTGGAGGCTCGACCTAGGGCTTAGATTCATGATCTTGTTTTCTTTTCTCTTTTTTTCTTTTTTTTTTTTTAAAGATTTTATTTATTCAGTTTTTTTTCCCCCCAAAGCCCCAGCAGACAGTTGTATGTCATAGGTTCACATCCTTCCAGTTGCTGTACGTGGGACTCGGCCTCACGTTGGACGGAGAAGTGGTGCCTCGGGGCGCCCCCGGGATCCGAACCCAGGCCGCCAGCATCAGAGCGCGCGCACTTAACCGCTAAGCCACGGAGCCGGCCCTCTT